TCACCAGATTGACATCCCATTTTTAGGTGCAGTCAGTTCTGCTATAAAGCGTTAGTTGCGATCCTGTGTAACATCGCATTATAGAAAATCGTGCTATAGAAATAACAGGGCTAGAGGCAGACCACCAAAAAATATCACTCAAAAGCCTAACACAAAGGATAGCACAGTTTGAATAAATGATTAATTCATATCTAATAATGAAATTAAAGTAAATTTAACACCTTACCTTGAAAAAAATGTCAAGACGACTTGATTGGGGACGTGGTTTTGAGGTTGCTCTATTGTTAATGCAGGGGCTGAGGGTCATCATCACCACCACCTTCAAGTGCAGTAATGGTTGCAGGGTCAGGGTGAAAAACAGTTAATCCAGAAGTGGATGGCTGTGTTTTATTGTCTTCTGACTTTCTTGGGTGTTTGTTTAAAAAGACATCCAGTTTTTTCTGCTTTGCCCTTTTTCTTCTTTCATAAAGTAGCTGTTCAGAGTGCCAAACAAGATCTTATTCTACGAACTGCTACCCTGTTGCATTCTGCATTGTAATCATTGTCCTCCAAGAGCTGCAACTGCTTCTCAAATTTCCTCAGAACAGAAGACAAAACAGAAGTGGAAAGCTCTCGTCATACCGCATCCTGGACTTAATCTTCTTCATCTCCAGCTTTCGCTTCCCCCTCAGCGACAAGTTGTTGTAGATCAGCTGTAGACAGGTCTTCACAGTGGGACTCAAGCAGCTCTTCAACATCCTCACCCTCTAGTTCTTCAAATCCAACTTGCTTTGCAAGATCAACACAATGTTCTTCGATTCACCAGGACACTTCTTGCTAACATTCTTGTCACTTTGTCCTCACATTTTTGTGGGTAACATGGCAGAATTTGCAAAGAAAAACAAAAATCACAGAGTACTGTACCTCTCACAGAAAGCGCTTCATGACAAAGTCTGCGAAATGATTACATGATGTTGGCGCGGAGACTCTTTCAGCGCTAACGTTACGCATGCTCAGGACAAAGCCCATAAAATGATCATGTGATGTCAACACATACACCTCCATGCACCAATGGAATCACATTAAAGTCAACACAAGTTCACGTTTTAGTACTATCAGGTGGTGGGGTTCCCATGTATTTTCTGCCCTTGTCCTTCTAGATTGAGATGGTAGGTTTTGAAGGTGCTGTTCAAAGGTATTGGTGAATTTCTTCAGTGCATCTTGTAGATGACACACAATGATACTCTGAACATCAATGGTCATTGAAGGAATGCACAT